TCATGCTGCTCCCATCCCTATGCTGCTCTTTCGCTGTCGTCGGCCAGCTCGAATGGCCATCTTCTTCCCCAGTGCTTCTTCTGACGGCGCAATTCGCCAGAATCCATCAGCTAAGGCTCGCGGCAAAGGTTCTCTTTCGCACCCCAGCTTGGTCACAACATCCGCAAGCATCTGGCTTGTATCAAGCCAGTGAGTGGCACACACTCCTTCCATCATCTCACGTACTTGGGCAACAAGGATCTTCACACGTTTGTCGGACGGCTGTCCAGCATCTTTCGTAATGGTGCTTTCCAGGCTCTTCGCATCTGTGAAGCCAATGACGGGCTTCAAGGCAAACTCAGCTGCAAGGTAGGCGTTGGCCTTAGCAGCTAAAGTGCTACGGCATACCCTCTTGATAGATGAAGAATTGGCCTCAATCACAATGATCGGGGTATCTTTGCCTTCAGTGATGGAGTGCAAGGTCAGGCCAATGATGTAGCCGCACTGAGATTTGAATCCTCCAGTATTGGCGAAACTGGAGTCTGCGCGCATGAGGACCACGCAATTCTCAACCGTGATTCCAGAGGCTTTGAAACACCATTTCGCATCAGCACTATCCTTCAACATCTTCACCGCTGTGTTCAACTCGATCACATCACGGATGGTGGGATTGCCAATGCTCTGGCTGACAATGCTGACATTGACCATGATATCTGGTCGGGTTTGTCGGACAACCCATCCAGTGCTTCCAATCAAAGCTCGAGAGTCACTGTTCTCCTGCTCAGCCAACGGCAGGTTGGGAAACTTTCTGCGGTGCTTGTCCAAGACCTGGTACTCTAAACCCTCAATAGCGTCCACCTGTTCAAGGGAGATGGACTTGTCCTCGGGCTGCACGAGGTTCTTGCCATAAAAACGAAATTCACCAGACTTCTTCTTGAGATGCAGCGTGTTGGTGAGGTCTTTCATAGACTTCTCATGCTTTTCTCCAGCGCCACAAGTGATCAAATCATCAACGTGGCTGGCCATGACACCAATAAGCACTCCTCCATCGTAGAGGAAGAATAGCGCTTTGGATGCAATCCATCCACAGTCGGTAGCATCACGTAGACGCTTCATCCACCTTCTGCCTGCATCTTTTGTCCCATGTATGCTGCCACGGGCCCTGAAGAGTCATGGGATGAACACCAGGAGGTGGAGGTCTCGGGCAGCGCGGGATCAAAAGTCGATTGATTCCACTGCTTTGCAAATTGGCAGTGCTGGCATCAAAGGCGGCAATCACCCAACAAAACAAAGCTGCCAATGTGCAGACCAGGTTGAAGGCGAGCAAGGAGCAAGTTGGAGAATCAGACCGTATGTTGGTCTCATCTTCTTGGCATCCTTGGACTACCAATCTTGATTTTGCTTCACAAGGGTATTCTTTGTCCACTTCCTCTTTCGTCTTGTCGGTCTTCTTGGCCATGTGGTAGGCTATCAGCCTTGGTTTGCTGTTTTCGTCTGTGTGGGCCCAGCGAGTGCCAACGATCTTGGTGTCGCCAGGAAGGGCTTGACTTCTTCCTCTGACAGCTCTTGTACTGCTTGAAACTTCTGCCATGACAACCATTCCTTCTGCATCGATGCCTGAAAGAGGGACAAATCCTTCTCGCTCAGGTTCTTCAGGTTGATTTTTGAGCACACAGCTTTTCCTGTCATGAAGGCTGTGTGAGGAGCGAACTGCTCTTCAAAGTTGTCCTCATCGATGTCCATAGCATCATCATCGTCTCTAAGTCCATTGAGACGGAGTCGTTGAAGGGTCGCCTCAAAGCCCAGGGCAGTAGTCATTCCATGGGGCGTCATCCGCAACATAGGGCCCAAGCCGATCAGGCTGCTGCATTGCTGTCTGCAAGGGCGTTCCAGGGGCAGGCTGTGGAGCCCTTGGAGTTGGCATGTTCGCTGGTTGTGGCTCAGGCTCTGCCACAGTGATTTGTCTTTGGTGTCCAGCACCTGGTAGTGGAGAAGCAAGACATGGAACTTGTGCACCAAGAGGAACTTGGGGATAATGTGGAACTTGAGCAGCTTGTGCTTGACCCAAACGTTCAACATCACGGTCAAGTTCATCCTCCGAGTCCATGTCATCAAAGCGGCATCTTCAGGAACTGGAGCAAGTGTTTGTGCTGGTTGTTGATGTTGTTGTGAAGTTGGTTGTGGGTTGATGGAAGGTGAAGTGGTTGGTGGCTTGCTTGCTGATGATGATTGTTGATCTTGCCGTGGTTGAAATCCAAGAATTCTGGCATCAATAAAAGATTTGGCTCCTCGAAGTTGAAGGTTGGCCACTGCATAGTGTGGAACGCAATGTGCAGCCAGCAACTCATCTTCGCTGGCAAATCTCATCTGCTCGCCTGTGGTGAGGACGACAGATGGGCCATACCCAATAAGAGTGAGGTGCACCACCTTCGGTTGGAGCATCATCACCTTAGAGCCTTCTGGGATTTCTGAGCTCGATGCCAATCACCCTCGCAGGACCAAACCAGCGGTACTGGCGTGAGGTGCCAGGCTGTTGTTGCAGCTTGAAGAAGTAGACATAGGATCCAACTGGGTAAGGACCTCTCACAGGGGTGCTTTGTCGTAAAAGTGCTCGGCGAACTCGGGCATCAGTGTCCATTCTGACCTGTGCCACTTTTGCACTCTCCCTGATGTTGAGGGTCTGCGCCATTTGGCTTGTTGGATCTTCTGCAGCTTCAAGCACTTCGAGTCTTTGGGACTCGGATTCACTGAGCAAGGAACCAGGAAGGCGAAGGTCAGGAACGCCAAGAACCCATTGAAGTGGGCTGTAGCCATTGGTGCGAGGAAAAGCATTTCTGGTTTGAGTGACTATGGAGGCCGCAAGCATGACATCGTCGATGCCGTTGATCTGAGACTTGTTGATGACCTTTGACCAAAGGGTCTTCCATAGATCACCAGCTTTCTCGCATTTTCCACCCTTCCATGGTGCGTCCAAGGGCATCACTTCTTGTTCAACTCCAAGCTGCTTCAGGTGATCTGCAAAGATTGCCATGTACTCCTTAACACAGTCAACTTAAACTGAATGAGGCAAGCCGGCTCAGCTGGACCATGAAGTGGTAAAATGTCGGAGTACTGCACGTGAAGCTGGAGGTCCTTGGAGTTCACCAACGCACGCAACAACTTGGAAATTGGTTGCATCGTCTATTATGCTCAAAAATCCATAGGTGACTCCTCTGATGTCCTTGGCATAGAAGGTGTCCATCATGAGATGGCGGTTGAACTCGTATTGGTTGGGAAGCCTCACAGGTCTGGGTCGCTTCCTTCTGATGAATTCACCGCAACTATCGCATGCCAAAAGTCCAGCAGCACGGATAGCTTCAGGCTTGGCACCTTGCCTTCTCAGGATTCGCTGCAGTGTCACCGAAGTCGGGTGACCAAAGTTGACAGGAAGATCTCGGACGATCTTTCTGATCTCAGGGTCAATCTGCAGCCAATCTTGACGTCGCTGACTTTCAATCTGGTTGAGAATGGGGTCTGCACGGGAGTCTTGCTCATCAGCATCCAGCTCGCCAGGTGTTTGAGGTTGATGTTGAAGTGGACCTTCACCAATGGCGTCTGCACGTAGATAGACTGGAGGACCATGAAATTGTCCAGTCAGAGTTGACACCCGTCCTCGTCGTTTTGGCAATGCACCTGCTGGAGTTGAAGCAGGTCTTGTCGGGAACGCATCCTCATACTCAGTCATGGCCTAGTGGACAATGGTCTGCTCAATGTGGGCCTGCTGGATGGCACATTCCGAAACCATGTGATCAAGTTGCTTCGGCCATTCAGCAGCTTGAGCAGTACGAGGGCCATACTTGTTGCTGCCTTCAAGTGGTTGCTGTTGCAAACAGTTGCACTTGCAGTCGGCAAAAACTGATTCGGCAGCAACCATTGAAGTGCACGTAGTTGCTAGGCTTGTAGTTGGGCAGCTTGGACTCTTTACCATAGTAACCAACCTGACAGCCATCAACTTTGAAGGCAAACAGTGAGCAATCTTCGATGAGAGCTCGCACATGGCTCATCTCGGGCTCTTCGATGCTGTCAGAACCTTAGGGCTGCTCAACAAACACATGTCTTTTGGCTTTGACACGGTCCTGATCACCTTGTTCACCAGGGAGAGGATTGGCCTTGAGTTTTCATGGAGGGACAGTACAGTGGCTTCAGCTTGTCCTCCTTTGGCCATGTTGAACTTCGACCAACTTCCCTAAGGTCCGCAAGGATGGGTGATCAGAGTAAGGTAAGGATCCTCGGCAGCCATGTCTTTGTGAACTCGTGCCAGTGCTGTGGGTTCTGTTGCATCCCAGGCTGAGCTTGAAGAGTCGATTGGGCAACCCACCATCATTCCAAACAGCACGGCTCCCAAAGTGCGCCCCAATTTCCCAGCAAAAATTTGCTTGATCCAAACTTTGCCAACCGGCGGGCGATGAGCAACTTTGGGCTTTGTCTTGCCATGGGGAGTCCTGGACTTCATGAGATCATCAGAGTCCAGCAGCTTGTTCATGGTTTCAAGCTTCTTGCTCTTCTTGTTGGTGGTGGACCTGACGACAAAACCACCTTCAGAAACCATTGGCCATTGACCAAAAACGGTCATCATCTGCGTACACCATGCCCTCATGGATCTTCTCATCATCAGGATGCCAGTCAGGCGGAGGACGAAGCAAGTCCAATTCGTCCATGAGTGTGTACTCACACCCGTCGGCATAGAGATGGCCGTGTCCAACATCGCTGTCAACAGCATCAGAGGGCAAGGAGAAGTTGGACGGTGATCCATCAGCTTCTGGGCTGTGTGCTCGCTGGGTTTCATAGACCAGAGCTGTCTCGGCATTGATCTTGTCGTCCTTCTTGAACCGACGAAAATCTAAGTCGGCGCAGTCTCCAAAGTCCAAAAGGCTAACTGCCACGTGACCCCTGGATGTTCCGATCAAAGGCACGTCCATGACATCCAGGGCCTTGCAGGACACTTTGCTCTTGGACAAGTCAATGACTGTTCCATACTGTTCCCAGATGTTGCATGAAGGGCCTCGAGCAGAGCAAAGGCGTAGATCCAGGTGTCTCTGCTGAGTAAAGTTCTCCATGTCATTCGCCAATTCCCACAGGGAACATCTTCACGACCATGGAAATGGCCTCACCACCAACTCCACGAAAACGCTGGAGTTTCTCCTTCGTGAGGGGCACAAGTCCACACCCGAGAGCTCTTGTTCGAAGGGAAGTTGCCCATTCAGACCCATGCATCGCCTGGGCGCAGCCACTGTCAAGGATTGCAAGTCCAGGCAAGTCCGAGTCAGTGAGAGCATAGTTGATGCTGATATCGGGATCGTTCAGTTGAGGGTCATCGTCAAGTCCAAGTCCATTTTCATCCTCAACTGCTTGAAGTTCTTGCATGGTTGGATGGTCTTTGGGCTTGGTGGCATCAGCTGATTCAACCATCATGACATCGCAGTAGTGGATGGAGACGTTTTGAAGATCTTGGGGGTCGTGCTGAAGAGGGATCTGGAGATTCCTTGTTGTTTCCATCTGGCCAGGATCTTGAGTTTGTTTCCCAAGAAGTTGAGCTGGTTCCATGTCAATCAACTTCAAGAGTCGCATGGAAGCAAGGTTGACCAGCTTCAGGCGGGCATATAAGTATGCCGCAAATCTGTAGATCTCTGGGGCCATCGGCTTGTTGTTCAAGGCCATGTGCATCACCTGGCAAGTATAGCTGACATACTCAGGAGTGGCATAGGAGGCAACCTCGCAACACGATCTGCCAGCAAAAGATCCATCAGCAAAAACATCCATGTCTTGAGGCAGCGGCTGCATGACTGACATATCGGTGTCAGCCAGGTCAGGAAATTGTGGAAGATCTTCGTAGGGGTCCTGCAAACTTCACGCCATAAAAGAATGCAGTCGCCTGATTGCTGTGGACAATCTTTGCAACCATTCGTTTGCCCTAAGTTGATGACCTCGCAGTCTCAGCTGAAGGTGTAGGTGAAGCACCTCCAGGAATCAAGCTCCATCGATCCTCATCATATCCGCCAGGGGATGCCATAGACCTCCTCAAGGGTCTCGTTGGAGTCAAGGTCATAGGTCTTTGGTCCTCAAGCGAGCGGGTGGTCAGCCTGCAACTCGAGCTGCAAGTGCTCGTGAACGCGCACCAGAGCCAAACTTTTGTGCACCCACCTGAACCAAGTATAGGACCACATCTGGACGGCTTCGCATCGCCTTCCAACTATCCCATTCTTGCCACATTCCTTGCATGTGATGTGGCGGGTGTGGCCATTGGCGCCACGGTGAAACTGTTTCTCATCACCTCCATGGTACGTGGAGTGTTCCCACAGAACTGGAGCCCGGAGTGCCATCAGTGCATCGTGGGTCTTGGCCACGACATTCAAGGGAAAAGTTCAACCATTACGACCATCGTTGGGGTCGCCATAGAGACCTGCAGGGTCAAAGATCTCTGCAGAAACCTTGGCATTCGTTGCAAACATGTCATACTTGGCAGCTTTGTCATACTCAGGAACCTCAGTGAGGTCAGAATCTGCAAAGTGGTCAGGGACCTTGGCATAGGCAGAAACCTCGTTGGGGTCAAAAACTGCAAACGTGTCAAGGGCCTTGACATCCACAAGAGTCTTGGAACCCACAACAACTTTGTTGGACTGAATCTGGCGCTCATCGTCACCGTCACTCTCAATACGGTCTGAGAGCACAAAGAACGCTGAGCTGCTCTTCTTTGGGCTGGATGACTTCTTGGCATGGGGCTTTCCAACCCAATGTCCCTTCATGCCACAAGCAGTGCGCTGAGTGACGGACTTCAAAAAGCTCACAGCAGCGCGCCGTTGGTCTTTGGTACGTTGGTCAAACGTCAGGTCACCTTGGGCTTTGAAAGGAAAGCTCTGCTGGCTAGGATTGGAACTGCTCGAAGTTGGAGGCCTCTTGATGAAGCGCTTCTTGCACTGCTGTCCACGGTGTTCGGCAATGGTGGCAAAGGCGTCAGCCACCTCTTCATCTTCAAGGTCCTCAGGGGCCAAATCTCCCATGAGATCCAAAGCTTCATCATCGGAGTACGCAGCATATAGGTGTCATCTCCAGCCATGTCATTCTCATCAATCTCCTCCTCGGCAAACGCTTCCTCATCGCCACGGGCTGCTCCCAGGTAGTCACGTCTGACCACAGGTCTGGTTGAGGCTGCGCTCGGAAATTGAATCCGAAGTGCATGGGAAATCTTCTTGTAGTCATACTCATTATTCACTGAAGCTAAATGAAGCTAAGATTCCTTGTTGCTCCTTCAGGTCCAGGCCGGAGAAGATCAGGAGCAGCATGCACTTGGGGTTGTCACTCGGCTGTGTTTCGGTTGAGGATTCACGCAGCTTTGCAAAGGCCAGTTCACGTCTTATGATGTGCTGGGCCATAGATTCAAGATTCTTCCGCCAAACCTGAGGGCTGCAGAAGTATTCCAGGAAGAGTTCTTGCGTCCTCACAGGTGCTTCTTGTGCAAGGCTATCTTGAAGGCATTTCAACGACAGCTTCATGCCCTCATCAGTCGCCTTGCCATTCTCATCCTTGGTTCTCAGCTTGGAGTGGTCCAGCTTCCGCACAGCTTCATAAGCTGTTCCGCTCAGCTGTGCTCGAAGGTGGAGCGGGGTAGCACATTGTAAGGCGTCTTGCATGCCCTTCTCTTCCATAAAGCAAATCCCAAGCCCCGACAACGTACTCCTGTAGGAGTTCCACTTCGCCGGCAAACTGAGGAACGCCATATCGGTCGATCTCAAGCTTGCCATCGGATCCCATGGTTGAGGCCATAGAGCTCATCAGGGTTGTAGTGCAAGTTTCGTCAGCCAATCGCCGGCAGGGCCTGGGCTGAGCACCACCGTAGATGCCCAGCTTTCGCGCAGCCAGCAGCTGCGGAGCGAAGGCCGCCTCGATCAGGCAGCTCCGCTTACCATCAACAGTTGCAATGTGGCGTGCAGCAAGCGACGGCCTTTTCCTTAGGCTAACAAGGGCGCCCTGTGCCAGGGTGCAGCGGCATGAAAGTGAACCTGGAGATGAAAGGCAGGCATGATCAGGTGAAATTTTCTCATAATATTTATATTATAACTAAATTACACGATGAGCTACTAAACTGAGTAGTCAGTCAAGCCTATCCGACTTACTGTCACTCGACGGCCTTTACGGATTGAAGGTCTTCTATTGTTTGGAAAGCCTATGCACGAGAACCCAAATCCGATTGGACAACATGATCACCCAAATGCATCCAAAAACGCACATCATAGATGTTGCTGTTTCAATCTCAGACTCATGTCATTCACCCACGACTGCAAGCAAGCAACCCCCGGCTAAGCTGCCCCTAAATGTCTAAAGGACCAGATGCTGTGCTTTGATGACCGCATGACGAATTGGAGGCTTTCGGCTGATATCAACATCACAATGAGGAAATCCTTCCGGAAGTCCATCATCGATTCCTATGCCACATCCATCACCATTCACAAACATCTCCATCAAAAAATGGCACCTGCACCAGCTATTCGACCCCGGTGAGGAATCCTTTGGATCCACTCCTGCGATGTCTCCAAGGATCGGCCATTTCAGTACTGGTGCATCTGTCACCCAGGACCCAGCAGATTTGAAGCACATTCATTCTATTGACTTTGGGAAGGACAGCAGTTGTAAAGCCAGGGTTGAAGCTGGAAAGATCACAATTGAAATTAATTGAATATCAGCTCCAAATGTTTCAACGTGCAACTTCGAATGCCCAAAACAGAACCACTTGATTGTCATTTTGTTCGCCTCTTGCCAATTCACAAAACATGCCGGGCGGACCTGGTGCTTCAGTGACACCGAATCAGAGCCAGAATAGTCGCCGAGTCGCAGCGAAGACCCAATCGACATGAATGTCTACATATGTCTCCTATACATGACCCTGACTGTCAAAGGATATAAAAAGAATAGTCCAGGGGCCTCGACTATTTAAAACAATATACTTTCAATATACAACGTATTCAAGGGTAGTTTCCTGCCAACCAAACCTCATCACCAAGCCTCGCCAGGCAGATGTAGTGCTCGGACATGCCAATGTGAAGATTATCATGATAGTCAAATATAATATAATGGGAATAATGATGACAAAAATGGGTAATCCATGGAAATCCCATAAGCAGCTGGAATTATATTGCTACATTGTAGATCCATGCCCAAAATATAAACCACTAGTTTTATTTTCCCAGATTCTCCAAAGATATTGGGTCCAACTGCCAAGTGTTGCAAACATTTGACACGGAGCGGATGCAAAATTACTTACAAAACTGATCCTGTATGCAGCTCTTCCCTTGATGTATTGGGGTTGAAAATCTGTCATGCTGAAACAGCCGAGACCGTTTCTATGGATTCTGCGGCGATCTCTGACCTGTCGCAATCCTAGCATCCTTGGATCCAAAGGGTGCGACTAAAACGGCAGAGACGTCTCTACAAGTTGTGGCACTGGCAGGATCAATCATGCTACCTGCTTGGCAAAAACGATGAACACGATGACAAAGCAAGTCATTGCAACTCAATGCTCCCTTGTCAGTGCCAGGCTGAAGCGGAGTTTGTCTTGGACAATCACTGCGTGCGAAATGTTGGGAGGAACATTCGATGAACATGTATAAAGAATGCCAAGATTTGCTCGAGCACTTTTCGCTAGGCCCAAACTGGGGAACTGCTGCTGCTGCTAATTAAAAAAATATAGAATGAACTCTTCCAAGCTCCTACAACTGGTTTGATGTTCTCCCGACAAGTACGTCGATCTCAGCGTTTGGAGAGCCTCTGAAGCAGCCGTTTTTTGCATCGGACAAGCATCTCTAATCTCTGCGAGGGATCCGGCAAATACGTTCATATGTCTTGGGGATGCTGCCATCACATCTGCCATCACCTGAATTGAACTAGTCAAGACAAGCCTCAAAGTTTGAGGCTCAAAAAACCATCCAAAATGGAGGACTGAATCCATTCCGCATCAAAATCCAGTGTACTGAAGGTTCTAATGGCTGAA